GTGCCCCAAGGTGCCAGCGTTGGAGATCTGGGGGTCATCCTCCCGTCCAGGAATTAGACAAATGTACCTAGTCGCTGCGCTGGGCTTTGAGATATAGTAGGGGACGAAGCTGCCACCTTTCCCTTCCAGGTGTCAGTGTTTGCGTCAAGGACAACTCTGGAGGGGGAAGGGGCAGGAGGCAGGAGAGGGCAGAGCGCCTCTGCTCCTTAGATCCATCAGGTGTTCATAGCAGGTGCAAAGACTGGGGCTTGGAGAGAAGTCCCGTTGGGTAATTAGCCCTCCACCCCACTAGGCAGAAACTCTCATTATGTTGGCCTCAAGGGCTGTCGGGACCAAGCGGGGCCCAGTGCGCGGAGGGGTGGACCCTTAAAAGCAGCCTGGACCCCTAAGAGCCGCCTCCTTCGCGCCCCCGGTGGCTTGGGCACCTCAGCAGTGGCCGCAGCGCTGTAGGAGGGCAGTACCCTGGCACACCGAGAGCCCACGCCCGCCCGCAGGTCAGGGCCGGATGTGGGAGGCTTTTCCAGGAGGAATGCAGCAGACCAGCGAGTTGGAACATCTAAAGTGGGGAGGAGGACAGTAGAAAAGCTGACCGGCCCTGCCTCACCTTAAACAAAGACAACAAAAACCGCTTCTGGGCTAAAAATACAAACGTCGAGAGTCCCTGTGCGCAGGCGAGCGGCGAGTTCCAGCTGCCGGCCTGGCCCGGGGAAGACTTGGCGGCGCGGCTGCCGCTTACACCCAGCTCGGCCGGGTTTTTTCGCGGCGAGATAGGCTGCGCGGCCGGGCGCGGCGCTAATCACTCCCAGATGTCCCTAATAGCGGAGATAAAGACGGACGGAGCGGCCGGGAATAAATTTGTAATCAGGGTTCTACCATCTGATCATCAAAGCGGCCCAAATGCCGGGAGAATTTGAAGAGAATGTGTGTGTAGTGGGGAGGTGGGGGGGGTCGTGTGTAGGGGAGAGGAGGGGGCGTGCCCCTCGGAGGGAACGGACTTGGCCGGGGTGGAGCGAGAGGCCCGGGAGAGAAGTCCAACTTCTGTGCGCGCGTCAGGCAGACACGCAGTGCACTTCAACTCCGAGAGCCCGGCTGGCCGTGGCCGCTGGGCTGTTACAGGCCAACGAGACCGTGGCAGGCAGTTGCTGTGAGCGAAGCGCTCCTTGCGCAGCGGCTGGATGGTCAAGTGGCGAGTTCAGAGCTGTCCGGACCCCGGAAACATGGGATTCGTTTCCTCTCCTGGAGTTGCCCCCCCTTCTCCTCCTCCCCTTTATAAACAGTTAAAAAATAATTTGTCCCCCTGTCCCCTTAAGGGTGGCTCCAGGGTCCTTCTCTCTTGGGGATCCGTGGGCTCCGACAGGCCAGGAGTCCTGTGCGTCCCGAGGACTCTGCAGCGCCCCCTCCTCGCGCTGCGATCGGGGACGTCAGGAGTTGGGTCTCGTGGAGGGAATGGGTTCCCAGGCCAAAAGATCCAGAAAAGACAAGCAGTGCCCAGATTCATTCTTCTACGGGCATAGTCACAAGCCTCTCTTCTAGATCATCTCCGGTTGATCCATCACCAGTCCCTTTTCCAAATCCAGGCAGGTGGGTGGAACAGGCGGGCAGGGAGGACGCCTGGCAACCGTGGAAGAGAGCGGGCCGGCCGCACGTGCAGCAGACACAGCGTTTCCTTAAAGCCGCAAGAATAACTGAGAAGTTTCCTGCAATGTGCAGACCCGCAGTGCAAACGCAGTCCAGGCTATTGTGCTATGATGGTATCCTTTGCCCAGTTTACTGCCCCCCCCCACTCACGCACACACCTCAACCCCCCACAAGGGGTTCAGTTGTCTCTACAAAGGTAATCTCAGAAGCAGCTCACAGGCCCCTCTCTGATCCCTGTGGCTTTGCTCACTCTTACCCTCAGCACCCCTTCCTGCAGAATATGTGGGCACACAACATACTCACACTCCTGCTACCTTAACATCTGGGTGAGATATCAGCTTTGCGACCCTCACCACCCCAGGGGACAGCCACAGAGGCCTAGGTGAGAGGAAGGGATTGAGCCACCCCCAAGTCTCACACATTTGCTTTTGGGGCCTGGGAGGCTGCCAGGGCCACGACTGCACCCACCTTATTGTAGAGTTGACCAGGCTGCCTGGTCCTGCCACACCTGAGGAGGGCAGCCTAGGCCCACCCTTCCTAGGTGCCAGACCTACTGGCTATTCCACTTGGAGGCTGGAACTTCCCATTGGTCCCCAGAGAAGCCTCCTTCCTCCCCCACCGCCCCCCAATTTAGAAGGCAAGAAGAATCCCAGGCGATCTTGCTGTCACCTTCATGACTTGACCTGAAAAAGCTCTTAAAGCTGCGTCACTGTCCTGACTGGTGACAAAAGTCCTGGAAAACTGAGATTGGGAGCAAGGAGTGTGTTTAGGTCCCACTCTGTTATGTTTTCCAAATTACTTCTCAAGAAGTTGAGAATGGGTTTGTAGGTAGGAACACACACACACACACACACACACACACACACACACACAGCAGCCAGGCCAGAGCCCTGCTGGTGCTCCAGGGTTATCAGGCGCTGGGACTGCGTGGCGGTCTGGGGCCGAACCCTGACAGCCAGATCTACCATCAATTTACCTTCCGCCGCCCCAGCTTCCCATTTAGCTTTTAACGTCAAATCCTGCATTTTTGTCGGCTCCGGCCTGTCTAGAGAGCTTGTGATTTCGCTGCAGGAGTGATTGCTTTTAACAAAATGGCAGCAACCACATTATCCGAGCAATTAAAACAGAGACCTTTTAGCCGTTTCACAAGGCAGGAGCTTGGAAACCTTTTTTTTTTTTGAAGGAAAAAAGAAAAGGAGTTAAAAGAGATAGAAATGTGTTGAGGAGAAAAGCATGGAAGCGCTCAAGAAACGTTGGCCCGGCACACCGGTCACTTTCCTGGGATTGACAACGTGGGGCAGGGATGTTGGGAGGTTGGAGTGACGGGTAATCTGAGTGTCTTGCCTGCGGGAGTGTCCGGCCAGTTAGGGTGTGCATCCGGTTAGGGGTTTTGGGTCCCCGGGATGTCGGTTCTGCTGGATGTCAGGCTTTCAGGTTCCTGGAGGGTAGGAATGTCCAGGTGGTTGAGGTGTGGGGTCTGGTGCTGCTGGGCCCGAGGAAGCGGCGGGGCAGGCAGGAGAGAGGAGGCGGGCAGCGCCTGGCCCAGGCCAGACAAAGACTGGTTTCTGGAGAGCGGGTTTACAAGCTTCTGTAGCAGGGAGCTGCCCCGTAGCGCTGGTGCTGCCAGGGTCTTCTGGTTCTCCTCTGCTGGTGTTTAATAAACCGGGAGAAGTGTTAAACCAGCAGAAATGCGTTAAGGCCCAGATGACGAAGTAGCCCAGCTACCCAAGCGCAGGCACGCATGCCTGGTGAAGAGAACTCCTCTCTGGCTCCTGTTTTGAAAACCTCACCGCCTCTCCACTACATTGGTAGACGTTTCCCACTGACCCCTAGGCTCTGGTTGGTGTCTTTCTCTTGAAGGGATTAAAGTAAAGACCCGAAAGGCGGCAGGAAGCAGGAGCGGGAGGGAGGCACTCGGTCAAACGGACAGGGATCCCGAGAGTAATAGAAAATCAGGGCGCGCCTCCCTCCGCCCCCCAGTGCTATAAACAAAGGCAAGTGTCTGTAAACACAGCCCCGCGCCCACCGCGGCGGCCCAGCGCCGGCTGACCCGAGGGGAGAAAGTTCAGATCGCTTTGGCCGAGTTGTTCTAACCCTTCGCCCTCGCGTCGTCAGCTGCCCGCAGAAGAGACCCGCAGAGGCGCTCGCCGCCTCTCCCGGCCCTTGCGAATTCGCCCGCTGCAGGCGGGGGGCTCCGAGTGGGCACCGGCCGGGCGTGGGAACCGCCGGGAGATCAGGGGAGCGTCTGTGCCCGAAGCCGAGGTGCGAACACCACCTCGAGGATGGGTTCCAACATGGAAAGCCTCTGGCTCGCCTCCCTAACACCAGATTTATATAAGTGGCGTTTCATGAAACAAACCACTTTTTAATACGTTTCACCTTTCTTCCCTCCTCCCCCCCTCACTCCTGAATCCCTCCCCTCCTCTCCCCCTCCCAGGCCGGCCCAGTCCTTTTAGACACACCAGTCTCTCTGGTTCCTAAAGCAGAGATTCGGGATCTAGCCAAGCCCACGGGCAAAGGAGGCCTCAGGGACTTCCTTCCGGGTCGTGCTGGGACTTGGGGAGACCAAACCTCGGACGACGTGGGGGGTGGGGGTGGGAGCTGGTAGTCCCGAGAGGGAGCCGCTTGCTGGGCTGGCTTGTGGCCGGTAGGACTTCAGACACCGCGCAGTTAATATTGAATTCCCTGTAGCTCACTGTAAATCTAGCCCTCACTACGCACCCCTTTTAAATCCATGGTCATGCTCGAGATTTCTTACTTGATGTTACCTAAGTTCCTGATCACGGACTTCACACCACCCCCCCTCCGCCCCAGGCCCTCCCTCTGCCCGGCCAGCTCAGATGAGAATACACTCCCTTGCCCCCTCCAGACCACGCAAAACCTCCTCTTTTTCTCTTTCTCTTTTTTAGATGAAAGCCCTATATTTTGAATTAAAGGCTTTAACGCCTGGGATTCTCCTCAAACCCCGTCCACCGGAAATGTACTCCCCACACCAAAACCGAAGCCCCCACCCAATGGCTTCTGGTTGATTTTAGGAAAACAAGGACCCCTTTCCACCTTCTGGGGGAACGACCAGACCTTTCTCCAGCCCAGACCCTCCTCCTACAGACCGCTCAGCGTTCTCCCGGAGGTGGGGGGGGAGAGAGCCCAGGCACTTTGGCAGGATTTTCATCAAGGACCCTCTCTTGAAGGAACCTCCACGCCCTGGGGAGGAGGGATGCTCACGTTAATGACTCTTTCAAATAAAGTTAGAGGCAATCATAATTTAGTTTACTTCGGAATATTTTAAATATTATGAAAACAAATATAACAGTTTTGTTTTCAAAACTCTTTTGAGGTATCAACTATTAAAAGATTGGGGGTTTTGTAAAAAAAACACACAGTGGTTTATTGAATACTTACAACGTTTACACCTTCAATATTAATTAAATTCCACTTAGTTTTAGAGGACGGAAGTGCACAAAACAAGTAGCTGTTGGAAACATCTTGGAATAGGGAACAACCACGGATGAAACGAGACAACACTAGATACCGACCCCAACGGAAATGTTAGCGGCCCCGTTTTCTGCTTTGAAATAAAGCTTTATAATCCCCAGGAATATTTATATCCAAAGGCCAAGTATTAAAGATACACTTCACATACACATCAAGGTCCGCTGTCTTTTATCTGGAAGCGGTTGGGTAGGTGGGGAGGGGGCCACGCTGGTGTCTATACAGCCAGGAGGGAACATTCAAACACAGAGAATCTACGAGACGACGGGATCCCTTACCACGCGGGAGTGTCCTCTTCATATTAAAATCTGGAATGCTTTTCTTCAAATATCCACTATTTTTTGGAGGGGGAGGTGGGGAGCGGATGCCTCATAGCGGGGCAAAGAGTGGGGAGGCAAATTGCACATAAATAAACCGGATGATTCCAAATGCAAGTAGTCCTCAGAGCCGAGCACGGAGAGCTTGCCCCGAGTCCTGGGTCTGCATCTGGCTCCTGGGCCCCAGCTCACTCACGCTCTCCTCCTCCTCCTCCTCCATCTCCTCCTTCTCTTCCTCCTCACTGCTTGAGTTCCAGGGCCCAGACGTGCTGCGGCCAGCCTGTCCGGCCTTTGGTTTTCTTGTCGTTGCTGCTCACTGTGCTTTTCAAGATTTCGTTCTGGACAGAGGGGAGGCGAGGGGGAGAAAAGTGGAAAGAGAAATTCAGAGGGGAGACCTGGTTCCACATCATCCCCGCGCTCCCTGGGCTCAGAGAGACAGTGAGACCGAGGAAGAGATGGGAAGTAAAATGGTTTTAAGTCGTAGTCCCTGCACAAGAGCTACGAAGACTGGCCCTGCCCTAGCTACCGCCCTAGCTACCGCACAGGCCGACAAGCGCCTGCAATACTCAACTACCGAATCCGCACGTTTATAAACAACAACCCGTTTGCAAGTGGCTTATGGAGGAGCTGGGGGCCCCTAGCCGGGGTTGGCTAAATGTGGTTTCCCTGTCTTCAGTTGCAATCCCAGATCCATGCTCTCAGGAAGATGGGGAGAAGTTCCCTCACCCTGGCTTGGGCCTGTGGGCCCGAGGTTTTCTAGCCCCCGGCTCCGCTGTGCCTCTCCTCCAGGCCTCTGAAATCCCTGGTTATTCTGGAGGTCACTCGTTTATGCAGCGACTAGAGCGCCTCGGGCCCCAAAGAAGAAACACTCTATTTTCCAGGCCCTTTTTGGCAAAAGCCCCGCTCTGAACCCCACCACCCTCAGGGCACTTGGTAGGAACTTGAGAAAACTAATTTTCAGTTATAATTTTGTGTTACGGTTAACAACAATAACAATGATCACAGTAATATTTACTATGTGTCTTAAAATGTGCAGGGCAATGCAAAGAAAACAAGAAATACCCATGAAATGTATTCCTCTGATAAATTACGTTTTAACCTCATGGCGGAAGAGAAACTGGAGCTGCATTTTGGAGTTAAAAGTACTCATTGTATGTTTACCTTTACATCTTCCCGAGCACAGTAAGAACGACCATAAAACTCTCTTAGAAACAGTGGCAGCCTCCTTCTCAAGAGGTGGAAATGGAATCAATAGTGAAATAATTAGAATTGAGAGTTTTGGGGCGACCTTTTTCTTTTTAATATCTGAAAGCATCGGATTGGAGGCCAAATGAAGATTCTAAAGGACACGAAATGAGGGGTCCGGGCCAGGGCGATCTGAAGATCAATCGCGACCCTGAGTCTGCAAGGTCGGTCCTAAGTGCTTGGGGGGGAAGCAACGATAACCTGGAGGGAGGATCACCAGCGCCAAGCACCCCTCTTAACCTCCTCCTCTGGCTGACACCCTCCCCCACCTCAGCCCTCACACAACCCAGTGCAAACAACCTGGCTCAGGACGCAGCCGAAAAAAGCGGGATGCCATTGCTCTGCCCATTTGGAAAGAGACGGGGAGCACCGGTTCCCCGCAGCCCGCACCCCCACGGCCCCCTTCCCCCTGGTACTAACCAGCTCCTTCTTCCTCTTCTCTTCTTTCACATCTGTCTTCTTGATCTCCGCCTTGAAGGCCTCCGCCTCGCCGTTCTGGTCGTCCTTGGCCAGCAGGTCCATGAGGTAGGCGATGTAGCTGGTGGCCAGGCGCAGCGTCTTGATCTTGGAGAGTTTGGTGTCCGCGGGCACGTTGGGGATGCACTCGCGCAATTCGGCGAAGGCGCTGTTGATGCTCTGAGTCCTGCGCCGCTCCTTGCGGTTGGCGGTGCCCCGGCGCTGGGC